GCTTGGTGAGCAAGACAAGGGAGGAAAGGTTCACAGGTACCGAGTTCCTACTAAGTGCCTGGCACTTACCTCCGCTTCTCATTCACTCAAGCTCCACGCCCTGCAATGGCAGTGACTGTCAATCCCGCTTCACAGATGAAGGAAGCAAGAGAAGCAGACTTCCAGCCCAGCCCCACCTCCCCAGCCCACCCTTCCCACTTCCTCCGCTGGAGGAGAACAGAGAGGACATGTGGGCATAGCAACACAATGGGGGCGGGGGGCAGCCCTGCCATAAGACTCTGACTTGTTTTTCAATTTTAGCTGGTTTGATGGTGAAACCATAAGGCAAATGTCAAAGTCTAGCCATTCCCAGAATCCCTAGATTTAGCTCTCCCGGACTGGGCGTCTGTGAGAGCTGGGTCGTGTCTGCCACGTCCCAATGGATTCTGGTTGCGGGGAACCACTCCCGGGGCTCACATGCAAGTGGCAACCCGCCGGAGGGCTATGGAGACGCAATCAGGCAAGGCAATTCTATACAACACCATACGCACATTCCGCCAGCCAGGATTTAAGGCGACAAGTGAAAACCCTCAGAGAGAGCAAGTTCCAAGCGGGGGGGCGGGCCTAAATCCACAAAAAGAAAGACGTTCCGTCTCCTCCGCCACCTTAAGGCGTGACTGGGTGCCCTGTTGTACCCCTTCCTCAGTCCCTTTCTAACATTCCAACATTCCGATTTAATTTATTCCACTCTCCACGTGCCCTGGGCACACAGGTAACCTAAGCCCATTCAGAGTGTGTATAAAGTAAGAGTATAGAAGTGCAGCGAGGGTCTGAGTAAGTGACTTCCGATAGTGTACTTTTTATTTGTAACATTCCGAAGACTTTGAAATGACATAATCACAGCCCGTCACTGCAGCAGGCACAGGCACAGGCTTGGCCAGGGCCAGATGAGATTCAAACCCCAGCTGTGTGGCTTCCAGTCCTTTACTCAACTCTGAGCCTGTTTCTCTCCCATAAAATGGGCGCGATCATAATATACAGGGTTGTTATAGTACTTAATGAGATTGTAACTATAACATACTTATCCCAGCACTTTGCACACAGAGTACATGCTCAAAAGTCATGAGCTATGCATGGTTTGCTTTGGAAAAAAGCCTCTGAGACTAACAGGTAAAGGATTGTTATCCATCTGGTCCCCAGGCAGAAGCAGAGACTCAAGTCACTCGAGGTCACAACGCCAGTAAGGAAAGCCAGACAGACATGGGCGTGTTCCCGCTCCACCCTCGTGGCGCCTGCCTGGCTGCTGGAGGAGGCTTCCCGCAGAGTGACATTGGTTCAGGTGTCACCCATTTGTAGCACCTGTCGGGTCCAGTCCTTCCGGATCAAGCCTGCCCTTTCCTGGGTCTGCTACCTGCTTCCGCCAGTTCCCCTTAGTGACTCAGGCCCCCTGTGTTTGTTGACAATGCCCACTGGTGCCTGGTACGCAGCAGCCTCCTGGTGGGAGCACTGTAATGACACATCTCCACAGAGACTGGGCGGTCATATAATAGCTGAATAGTTGGAGAATGCCATCTTACACATATGTGAAAGCAATATGCCCAACCCTTCCTCCTCCTCCAGGCAGGAGAATGCTCTGAAGGTTGGGCAGGGAGAGCAGGCATCCCACACCTCCCACCTCGGCCTCATTCACCAGCAGCCGGAGGTTTGGGCTTTGCCTCACATCTCCATTTATGGCCGAGGAAGCCACACCTGGGAGTAGGGACTACTGAGGTGATGTCTCCAGCTGCTCACTCACTTCTGGGCCTGATGCAGACAGGCAGTGGGATTGTGCGGCTTGGAGAGGAAGACTCAGTCTCGGGACCATATATTCTTAAATCTGAGTCCCGGCAATGCCACTGGAAGAAAGGGGACCCTGAGAGACTCAAGCTCCCAGAGCTGTCATTTAATAGATAATAGTTATCTATCAGGAGTTGGACAGCAGCTGAATGTGGTCATGTATATAGAGTGTACAACTCAGACATGTGCCCTGACCGGGAATCAAACCCGGGAACTTTTCGGTGCATGGACGAACGACACCCAACCAACTGAGCCACACCGGCCGGGGCTTAAGATTTTTAAGCTCTCTTCATCCTTGGAGTATTTCCCTCTATGAACATGTCATCAAATCCTTGTGTTAGAAGAAATTTGGATTTCTCCTCTCCATATGGTTTTACGTGTAGATTCATTTGCTTAGTTGTGTTTGTTTTTACAGAGTTTTAAAAATCCATTTAGCTTTATACTTAAGTAAAATCTTTCCGTGATGCAAAAGTCAAGTTTGTAAAACAACATATAATATTAAAAGTTTGAATTCTATCCCTTTTCCTCCACTTTTTTCCTCCCTTCTTCATCTCATTGGTAATGATTTTTTTAGACTTTAATTTTTCAACAAATAAAATTCCCCCCCAAAAAAAACATATATATATATAGAGAGAGAGAGAGAGGGAGAGAAAGAGATATCTAGATATCTCCCTTCCTGAAACCAATGGTGGCATACTAAACACGCATTTCTCCACCTTGGAGATAGTCCATCAAAGTATAGAGAAATAGTCTTCATTTCTTTTTATAGCTGCATACAATAGTTCATTCAACCAACAAAAGGAACACTTGGGTTGTCTCCAGCTTTTGCTATTACAAATTCTGCTGAATAGATAACCTGCTGCCTCTGTCATTTCACATTGTTGCCATCCACTGAGACTTTCAGTAAGACAAAGAAAAGAAACGAGCTGGAGTTTTTAAGGCTTTGAATGCAAGGCACCCAACCATGTGTAATAGTGCAGTATACTTTTCAACAGCCAAAAACTTTGAAATAATGACATCTGCCAGGCTGTGGTAAATATGTGAGGTGCTTTAGAAAGGAAGCTGTCCACTAGCCAACACCAAGGGATGCTGGGACAAGAGGGAACGAATGGGTATGAGGACCTACCATGAGCCATGTGCTTTATCTATAACTTCCTGTATAATTCCTATTCTAATCTTGCGAGGTCACGGCTGCTCCTCCCACTTTCAGAGATGAGGCACCTGGGATGACGTCACCAGCCCAGGTCACGGTATTTGAATTGGGACCAGGACACTACACCATACTTGTCTCACAACTAAATCCACAATCCTTTCATTGTTAGCTCATTGATTTCTTCCTTATTGCCTAGTGAATGTACTTAGTACCACTTAAATGTACACTTCAAAACGGTTAAGATGGTAAATTATGTTATACGTACTTTATCACAATTTTTTAAATAATTTAAATGTTATAATAACAATAACATGTGTATACATAGAAACATGTGTATGTATATATGCAGGTATGTGTGCATGTGTGTATGTGTGTGTGTGTGTGTGTGTGCGCCCCCATCCTGTGAGAGCATACTGCCTACCATGTAGTTGGCACTCACAAATGCTCTTTATACATCAAATGATTTTTCTTATCACATTATGCCTGAGGGATCACTGAGTGAAGTCCATCCGCTACCAGTATTATTCAGACTCGAGTTGGGCTCTGGAGTGAAGCCCAAATCCTGGCTTCCCACTAACTAGTGTGTGACTTTGGCCAAGTTACTTCACCATGTTTGCTTTCATTTCCTCATAGGATTGATCATAATGACTCCTATGAGGGCTTTTGTATGAATGAAAGGAGTGAAGACATGTATATTGCTTAGAACAATGCCTGGAATAATAATAAGCACCATCTAAGTGTCAGCTGGCTTGATTACTATAACTTCTCCATTGAGTCAGTAAGTCCTGATTGAACACCTGCCCTGGGCCAAGCATGTGGCTACATGGTAAGGATGTCCTGCTGAGCAGGGGAAAGGACCCTGACCGCAGAGCACTTGCAGGCCAGTAGGTGACATGGTCATTATCAGACATCACACAAACAATCGTAGTTATAGGTGCCATAATGCCAGGAAGGGAAGATACACAGCCCTGTGCAATGGGATCATCCTCTGATCTCCTGTGTCAGGCAGAATGCCTCCCCAAATGCCCAGATGTGGCTGGTTTTGTTCATGAAGTTCCTGCGCAGCTTTCCCCACCTGCCACACGTGGGCCGGAAGCTGCCTGCCCACCTATTTCCCTCTTCCTCTCCCCTGAACTGCAGCTGGAGTACACTGCCCGCCTGGACTTCCTCTGGCGGGTTCAGGCCAAGGAGGAGATCAACGAGATGAAGGAGCTGAGGGAGCACAATGAGAACATGCTCCGGAACATCCTGCCCAGCCACGTGGCCCGCCATTTCCTGGAGAAGGACCGAGACAACGAGGTGAGCCAGGCTCGTCTGGCCGGTGAGAAGGGGTGGTGGTGGGTGGGGTGAGTTGGACACATGGACCCCAAGCTCGGGGAAACGCCCCCATCCTGTGAGCACATGGTGGTGGAGATCATACCTGCCACTTGGTGCCAGGCCCCTGAGACTGCCCAGCACTGTGACATATACACACCGTCTCCCAGCCCCGGGTCCCCATCGGCAAGATGGACAGAATAAGATGTCCGTTACAAGACTGAACTGGAATTGTAAAGTTTCACATATGTGTGTGCGCAGATCACCTGCTCGTCAGTGGCTGGCAACAGCAGGTGTGGTCAGGGGAAATGCTCACTGGTTGGCTGGCTGGTTGGTTGGCTTGTTTTTGTTTGTTTTTATATTTTATTGATTTTTTACAGAGAGAAAGGGAGAGAGAGAGATAGAAACATTGATGAGAGAGAAACATCGATCAGCTGCCTCCCGCACACCCCCCACTGGGAATGTGCCCGCAACCCAGGTACATGCCCTTGACCGGAATCCAACCTGGGACCTTTCAGTCCGCAGGCCGACATTCTATCCACTGAGCCAAACCGGTTTCGGAGGCTTCTTTGTTTTAATCTGTGATTGGATGGATGCCTGCAGGCATGGAGTAGGCTCTCCAATGTATCCATCTGTATCCTGCCCCTTCTCCTGCATAAAGACGTTTGGGTCTGTGACCCTGGCCTTAGGATGGAGCTGGGTGAGACCTAAGGGTCCCTATCTCATCCAAGCAGCCACGGAATGACTATGGGAAGGAGATGCGAGAATGAATAACCCGCTGCTCGAACAGCCAGCTCTTGGTGAGCCCAGGCCTTGGACAGTCTCCTGGGTGCAGGTCAAGGCACCGCCCACCCCATGGATGACGCTCTCTGGAATTAGGTTCAGGCCCGGTTCCCTCAAGGCTCCCTAAGGTCCGGAGCTCTATGGCAAGAGCTTGGTGACGAAGCCAAGAAAGCAGAGGGAATACTGATGTGGGTCACCATGACCTCCAGAAGAAGCGGATGAAACACTGAGCCCTCCGAGGCTAACCCAAGGAGAACGGAAAGGAGAACCGCTTTTCCATCAACACAGCAAAGCCACCGGGATCTGGAGCCAGCGGGGAGGAGCACGAGCACGCTGCCCGTGTCCGGGAAGGATGGCAACCAGCCAGGGATGCTGAGACCACAGGTCATCAGCTGTCTCCGGGCCAAGCCCCACTGAGCAAAACCAATGGGATGTTCAGCCTTCATCATGCTTATTTGAGGCTTTATAAATATTTAAAGAGTTGATACTCGACCTCTCTGAGTCCATTTTCTTCCTCATCCAGTCAATGAGGAAACAATATCACCCTTGCTGAGTTGGTGTGAGAATTAAAACAGGTGGGAACACACAAGGTACCTGGTGCAGCCAGGTGTGTGGCAGGTTCAGTATAGAAAGGCCATATGATGGACCCGGAAGCCTGGTGCCCTGGGTTCAAAACCGACTCCCCCTCTCGCTCCCTCTGAGACTATGGACAAGTGATGAACTCTCTGGACCTCATTTTTCTCACCTACAAAGTAACAAAACTTCCCCTACTTTGTCTGATTGTTATGACGTTTACATCTGTGCATAAAGAGCTTATATGGTGCTTGGCACAGTCTAAGAGCACACAGATTGTTAGCTGTAATTATTTTTTGATAAATGTGCTCCCTCCCACTACTTCTGCTCCCTCCAATCACAGCCCCAACCCTACCATTCATTCTCTCATTTGCTCAGCAGATGCTTCCTGAGGGCTGACCATGTGTCAGGCATTGTTCTAGATCCTGGCATTCAGACAGTGAGCAAAGAAGAGTCCTTGCTGATATGAAGTGTGTGTTTTTATGGGAACGCAGACATTAAAATGAATAGCTATACAACCTCGTGCCCGGAGTGATAGTTCTATGAAAACAGAAGCCAAATGAGGGCTACAGTATTGAAAAGGGGTGGCATTGACATTGAGGGGGCTTTGAAAGCTGTCTTTAAGGAGGTGACATTTGAGCAGAGACCTGAATGTCATGAAAGGATCCTAATAAGACCAACCGGTCTCAGCCCTAGTTTCTCCCTGCAGAGAGCGGGCTTGACTTCACAGAGGAAACACGGAACTTGGATTCAGACATCCTGGGCCAGGAAGGACCAGAGCTAGCTCCCTGAGCAGAGAGGAACCAAAGACCTTCTCTTGGCGTGGGGGAGGGGAGGGTATGGATGCTCAAAACCCTCCCCAGAGCCCAAACCTGTACATCCAGCCAGAGGAGGGTGGCAATAAGGCAATAATAGCTTCTCTATATTCAGTGCTCCCTCCCCAGCTCACAATATTTTTATCTTCTTTGAGCCCCAAATAGCAGGAAACAGATGGCACACTCAAAGCAGCTGATTAGAGCCAGCTGAATGATGGGCTCTCTCTAGCGGTGGAGGCAGGTGGCTGGAGTGCTTCCGGGTCCCCTGGAAACCCCCCACCCTTCTCCCTGCTTACTTGGGTGGTGGGAGCTGACTTGCCTGGGCTGCATCACACCCTCTGGCACCCAGCTAAGGGTCATTAATGGGGGTGCTGTGTAGACCAGAGGGAGGGGAAGGAGAGTGAGATCAGGATATGTATTCCTTTGGCCCCCTTTCTTGGGATTAGCTGAAGCTGTCACTGTCCCTCCCCAGAAGTTGACAGCACCTCTCCAACCTCAACTCAATTCCTCCCGGGCTCCTCTCATGCCTTTGAGGTGGGATGGCAAGGAGGAGAAGACCACCTAAGCCAAGAAGAGAGGCCTCAGAAAGAGCCAACGTGCCAACACCTTGACCTTAAACCTCTAGTCTCCAGAATCATGAGTTAATGGCAATAAATATGAATGTAGACAAATGTATGCGTATTGGAATGCCAAGAGCCTCAGATTTCTCAGTGAAGTAAGAGATCATCTACTGAGAGGAATCAAGTGAGGGTGACATTAAGGAATGTAGTGAGGGTTTGGCCATTGAGGACAACAGAACAGGAGGCTGAGCACAAAGGGATGGGCAGTCAGAACTCTGAGCCCAGCTGAGTTGGAGGCCATGCATTTCAATGGTCCCGGTCCACATGGTGGTGACGCTATGGTTACGGTGTTGACATGGCAGCGTCCTCTCTGGGGGTACTGTGCTTGGGTGCAGGTGCACGCCTACACAGGGAGCGTCCTCGCAGAGCCTCACCTCTGATGACTGTCTGGCTACCCCTGTGTGTCCCTCTGTCCAGGAGCTGTATTCTCAATCCTATGATGCCGTGGGGGTGATGTTCGCCTCCATCCCGGGGTTTGCGGACTTCTACTCTCAGACCGAAATGAATAACCAAGGCGTGGAGTGCCTGCGCCTGCTGAATGAGATCATTGCGGACTTCGATGAGGTAAACCGGGGCCTGGGGAACTGACAGTCACAGTGGCCGTCGTTGTGGTCACAGCATTACGTGAGTCATTGAGCCATGACCATTACAGAATTCCAGGCTGCACTATAAACACAGACATGTGTCATCTCATCTAATCATCACAATTATCACGAGATCAATGCCATTGTTTCTCACTGTGGGAGGGGGAGGGGATCCAGAACACAAGCCTCAGAGGCTAGGTAATTTAACCCAGCGCCACACAGCTAGCAAATGCAAACCCAAGGTTACTCAGGCACCAGCGTCACAGCGACTGGGCACCGATGGGGACATTTCTCCATCTGCTCAAAGTGCCAAAGGCAAAGCCATCAATTGGCGTTTGCTCAGAGACCTGAACACAGGATGAGCACACTCTAGACAGGACTTCCTTTGTCCAGCCTCCGTGAGTGTGAAGAACACCTAACATGGGGGAGCAGAGGAGGGCTCGCGCTGCACTTTATTCACAGTCACAGATTTGGGCAAGAGTGGGCCTTCTCCTTCCAACCCCGGGGAGCTCAGGAGGACAAGTGTACCACCGAGTTGTTTCCCACTGAGGCAAGGGGGCCAGGTTTTGCACCTCGGCACTGGTCAGCCATCGGCTGTGGGCTGCCCCAGGGGGGTGCATAACCTACCAGCATTTCCAGCTAGGGGGCTTCGCCAGCCTGGGCAAGTCTCCAAAAAAGCATTCAGCAGCCAGCCCTCAGGGCATTCTGCAGGGTGGCCCCGAAAAGCGGGTCTGGGTGGGGCACCAACAGCACCTCCTACGTGACCTGGACTCGGTCCTCCCTGTCCCCACATTCCTTTTGGCTCCTGAGTCCCGTGGATCCCTTCTTCCTACTCTTGCTCTGAGCCATATTATCTCCTAACTGCTGTGCCTCCTGCATCTCCCCATCGGCAATGACCAAAGGCAGGAGAACTTTGTCATATCCCTTTGACACCCAAAACCTTTCAGTGGCTCCCCTTTGCCAGCTCCTCAGGTCACCTGAGGCTTTCCACGTACTGTCCCTGTGCCCTCTCCAGCCTTACCTGCCACTACATGCCACCCAGCCAGCACCGTCTAGCTACCTACAAGCCACCGGGCCCACCTAGCTGTTCCACGCCCAGCTCCTTCTGCCAGAGATTATTCCCTCCTCACTACACCCTCCCCCCTCCCTGGACTCCATGCCAGAGGAAAACCTAATAGTCACTTAACAGTCAATTCAACCCCCACCCTACTTGTGACGCCTCTTCTAATCCCCCCCAGCCAGGTAAATATTGTCGCTCCTTTTCCAATGAAAAACTTATACTCAAAAAACCTTCCACCGTAAAGCCCTCAGCCCTCAGTGTACAGGTCTTCCTCCCCCACTAGCCACTTAGTTCTGGGCAGACAGCCATTCCGTTAAGTTTCTATAGGCGTTTATCCCGTTGCCATTTTCAATATTCCACACCAAACCCACAGGATAGGAACCGCTAGCCTCCATTTTAATATATTTTTATTGATTTCAGAGAGGAACAGAGAGGGAGAGAGACAGAAACATCAATGATAAGAGAGAATCATCAATAGGCTGCTTCCTGCATCCCCCACTACTGGGAATCGAGCCCGCAATCCGGGCACGTGACCTGCCGGTTCATGGGTTGGCGCTCAGCCACTGAGCCACACCAGCAAGGCTAGCCTTCATTTTAAACATATAAGAAAAACTGGGCCTCGGAAGCACCAAGAGTGTCCAGGCCACACACCATTAAAATGGCACCGCCAGGATTGGAACGCAGGTCCCCCGTACTGTTTTGGTTTCTAATCGTTGTGTTGTACTGTTTCCCACTTAAGGGGCATTTCATGGTTCTGGTTTTGTGACCATAAATGCAACGATGGCCATTTCAGATGTCCTAGGGATGGGGGTGGGATCAAGATAAGTGACACAATCACTTCCTGCCTTCCAGGCTTCACAGTCCTCTGAGAGACAGGGTGGCCAAGAGCTGTCTTTGAACGCGGAGTCAGTGCTAAGTGTACGGTACAGGGACCTCAAGATGCGGGGGGTCGAGGGCGACTCCATGGTAACAGCACCTGTATTCCCATCCTCCATGCCAGGCAGATAGAAAGCATACTCTCATGGATCCCGGACATCCCCAGCGCTAGCACGGTGCCTAGGACACAAGACATGCTCATAACGGATGCTCTATTAACTACTTACATAATGGGAGACAGAAACCAGCTGGCTAATAGGAAGGTGGTGAAGGACTAGTACTGCCCAAAACATCCTCTCAAGTAAAAAAATAGAAATAGCTCCATTAACAATCATCTGACTGAAGGTTGAGACTTCAGGCTCTGCTTTATTTTCAATTCCACAGCACCCCACCTCCTGAAAGGCTCACTAGCATGTTTTTAAATTGCAAAACATAAATCTGAACTAAATGCGCATCTCTGTTCCCTAAATTGTGAACAGTCTTCCCAAAAACTGAGACAGAGGACAGCGCCCCTAGTGGTAGAGACGGGTGTTTGCTTGCAGAGGGAAGCTGGTGAGACTAAGGGAGGGGATTGGTCTAGGAGGCTGTCATCTTTAGAACCGGGGCTCTGGAGAGGGGAGGGCAGGAGGGGAGGAAGTCGAAGAGAAAGGGCAGAGAAGGAGGAAGAGGGAAGAGAATGTTGTCCATGAGGAAGAGGACATTTCCTGGCTTGTCAACCCCAGCGCTGTGCACTCTCCTTGTGTGACCTAGACGTGCCTCGTTTCTTTGGGTCAAGAGCGGCCTCCAGGTTCTGCCCTGGCTGAGCCCGAGGCCCACCCGCCCCGCCCGGGGGCTCACTGCTCCTCTCGCTGAGCAGTTGCCACAGGAACCTGAGAGCCTGCCAATTCCTTCCAGCTCAGGGGAAAGCAGGGCCTTGCACAGAGCACACGCTCCAGCTCCAAGGTTGGATCTGCAGCGGTGCCCGTCCCTCACCCACAGCCCCTGCCGGCCAAGGCTGAGGAGTCCCCTTGCATCTCTCTGTGCCACGCAGATGAGTGAATTAATAAAGAGGCGATTAGGAACCCATTATGCCCACAGATGCTCTTAGCTGTACAGTAGATAAGTGTGCTGCGTGGATACTGAATGAAATAATGAAGACTCTTGCTGCCTCCTAACCGACCTCAGAGGGGGAGGCAGCTTTGCCTGGGCCTGAGATTGGCCCTCAGCCAAGTAGCTCTGAAGAGAAGAGAGGAGGGGGGAGTCCCCTCCCCACAGGAGGCCGGGGAGGGAGGTGGGCAGCCCAGGGCATGCTGAGATCTCTGGGCTGCAGTATTAACAGCCGAAGGAAGGGCTGCTCGCAGACCAAAGCTGCTTTGGTGTCTGAGGGCACCTGTCAGTCACGGCCTCGGGTTGAGGACAGGCAGGCTGCCCGGGCGCTCTTGGCAGACGCTCAGCCAGGGCAAAGCTCAGAGCAGAGGCTTCTCTTCAGCTCAAGACACAAAAGTAATGAACAAAGGCTGCTACACACACACACACACACACACTAAAGCAAATCATAAAAGCACCTGCCTGTGTTTTCCGTGTTCCCCAGAACAGTTTCTCTAGAGCTGGAATTTTCCAAGGTTCTCAGCTCCGGCTTAATTTTGAGAGGATGCCTGTAGCAACATGGTCCGTAGACACCCCACCACGTCCTCTCCATCTGCCTACCTGCCCCCACCCCCAGGCTGGCAGAAGCCCCCGAGGATATTACAAGGTTAAAGGGAGGCAAAGAGCTGGAGAACCAGGAGTTACATCAAAGAGCTGTCAACACGAGGAAGTAAGAGGCCAGAGTTCACACTTGGGGACGGGTCTGTTGTGAACTTGGCTCCTGGGCTAGGGCCAGCCGCGTGGATGGGTGGCCTGGGCAACAGAGGCAGTGGGACAGACGGAGTCGGGGATCTCTGAAGGCGGAACCACGGCGCTTCTGACAGAGTAGGTGTGGGCTGTGAGATTTTATCCAGAACATCTGGGAAAATGGAGGTCCCATTAATCAAGATGGCTGGTGGGTACAGAAGACCAAGGGTGTGGCTTTGAGAATGGCCAATGAGAGATGCCTTTTAGACTGTTAACTGGGGTGTTGCTTAGCAAATGTGTAGAAGAGTCTAAAGGTCAAGGGGGATGCATACATCTGGAGTCTCCAGGAAAGAGACTGTTGAAGCCATGAAACAAGAGATCGCATGGGGTGGCGGGGGGCGGTGAGCCCATCGGCGGGATTGGACCTGGGAGACTGCACCTCCCCTCTTGGGGCACCTTTTTCCTCTCTTGTCTTCTGCCAACTTGTGTCTTTATTTTCGCTGCACTGTCAGCTCTCCACCAGTCTCCTTTGCCAGTTTCCTCTCGTCTTCCTTATCTTATAATGTAGGTGGCCCCCAGGATGGGGTGCTGTGTTCAGTTTGGATGGGGTGGTCAGCAAGACCCCTGTGGGATGACATTTGAGGAAAGACTTGAAGAAGGTGAGGGAGGCGCAGTCTACCTTCGGGGGAAGACTGTCCCACCAGGGGGACAGCAAAGCAAAGGTCCTGAGGCAGAAGCAAGCCTGGCTCATGGGGACCGGCAAGGATGCTGGTGTGGCTGGAGCAAAGTGAGCGAGGAGACCAGGCATGGGAGGACCGAAGGTCTCAGGGAAGACTCTCTTTGGCCCCGAGTGCAAGGGGCAGCCACAGGAGGGTTGTGCACATTTGAATGGGATGTCTCTGATGTCCACGCTGGGCATGTGGGTAAGGGCAGGAGCTGGTAAGTTACGGCGATACAGAAACAAGGTAAACGCTACCAAGGGCTTAGACCAGGGAGCTGGCAGAGAAGGGTTCCAAACACATGTTAAAAATAGAGCCAAAGGATGTATTGATGGATTGCGGGACATTTGTGATTTCTTCTTCAAATTAACAAGGTAGCTTTGTCTATTTTGAAGATTCATAGTAACCGACCTATCCTTAACGAGTATCTGGTCACGCCCATCCTGGCGTCTGGCACTTAGCAGGTGTTCAATAAACACATGTTGGCTCTGTGAATGGCCGGTCGGAGGGCATCTTCAGTGTGAGCCGGGGGCTGTTCTCAGGACCCCCAGGCTGCTGGGGGAACACACACCAGGACTAACACCGTTGCCTGGTCTGTTTCAGCTGCTCGGCGAAGACCGGTTTCAAGACATTGAAAAGATCAAGACCATTGGCAGCACCTACATGGCTGTCTCAGGCCTGTCACCTGAAAAGCAGGTAAGAGAACTCTTTGGACTCAGCCACAACCTCTGGCAGGGGCCTCAGTATTGTCACACTGCCGCAGGCAGTGAGGCTGCCATCACCAGGAGGCAGGGCAGGGTTAGGGAGAACATCCCATGAACTGGATACTCCGGTTGCGTGACGCATGTTGCTTCTGAGCTGAGCAGAGTCCACTGAATGGACCAACGCTTCTTCATGACTGAGAACCCTCTCGGCTTCCTTATGAACCTCTCTGTTCATGTGATGAACAAAATCAGGGCCAGCAGTTCCCTGATTATGATTAGTTGTAGGTGTTGCTAACCCCCTGATCCTAGCCTGTTTTGTTTTGTTTTTTGTTCTTGCTTTTGTTTTCTCCTCCAAACTCAGGACCAAAAGTAGCAAGTAATAATAACAAGAATAACAATAGCTCCTGCTCTTTTGAGTGTGGCCTGTGTGCCAGGAACTCATGTTAAGCGGGAACACCAACATCCACCTGCCAGGGTTAGTGGACGAGTCACCCGCGATAATGTCACGCTCCCACACAAGGCCTTGCCCCTGGCAGGTCCTCAATCGGTGTCCTCAACCTGGACATGAGTCTAAGTTACTTCAGAGAAGGAATCCTCATCCCTTCTCATCCCGCCTTTGCTTTCTTTCCAACTAAACACCTAGAACTATTACCAGGGTAACTGTCTGGCAAGAAGACCATGCTAGGAACTGGTCCCTGTGCCTGGCGCTCCAGAGCAGGGTCCCTGGGACAGCCTACAGCCAGGTCTGGCCAGTCACCTGTTCTTGCTGGACAGATGTCACTGAACACAGCCACACTCACTGCTTGTACTTTGTCCACGGCTCCTTTCAAACTACAACGGCAGAGCCGAGTAGCTGCACCAGAATTGTGGCCCACGAAGCCTGAGATCTGTGCTGCCTGACCCTCTACCGAACCCGTTTGCCAGCCTCGGCTGCATCAGAGCGCAGAGCTCAATCCCAGCCACTCCCCGTGAGGTAGGCAGGGCCAGGGCGCTCAGCGCATTTTACAGATGACAGAACTGAGGCTCAGAGAGGCTCAGAGGCTACTGGAGTTTGGTGAGTGAAGCACTTCAAAGGAAACAGACACAGTTCCTAGAGTGGAAACACTACACATATGTACATAGGAGCATGTGTATACACATACATGTACATACACACACCCCAACACTACACACAATGTACCTACACACACACATACACACACCCCCAACACTACACACAATGTACACACACACACACATGCATACACACACCCCTCCACTACACACAATGTACACACACACACACATGCATACACACACCCCTCCACTACACACAATGTACACACACACACACATGCATACACACACCCCTCCACTACACACAATGTACACACACACACACATGCATACACACACCCCTCCACTACACACAATGTACACACACACACACATGCATACACACACCCCTCCACTACACACAATGTACACACACACACACATGCATACACACACCCCTCCACTACACACAATGTACACACACACACACATGCATACACACACCCCTCCACTACACACAATGTACACACACACACACATGCATACACACACCCCTCCACTACACACAATGTACACACACACACACATGCATACACACACCCCAACACTACACACAATGTACACACACACACACACACCAGTGAGCATGGACAGGAACTCGGCCCACCAGCCTGAATAGACAGGGGCAGGTCTGGGAAGAATGACAGGATCCACACCCATCTTACTCTCTCATGAAAACCCCCTGTGGTCCCATGTTTGCGGATATGGAGGGCCTGAATGTGCAGGAGCCGCACACCTGGTGCTTCCTCTAAGGGACGTGGGGTGGGGTTAGGATGCCGGGCAGGCCCCTCGCCCGATGCTCACGCTGCTGGAATGCGTGCCTCTCGCCCCCCAGCAATGTGAGGACAAGTGGGGACACCTGTGCGCCCTGGCCGACTTCTCGCTCGCCCTGACAGAGAGCATCCAGGAGATCAACAAGCACTCGTTCAACAACTTTGAGCTCCGCATCGGTGAGTAGCTGCAGCAGGCGGCCACTGGGGGCCCCGGGCTGCCTGGCCTGGTAGCATGGGACCCTCCCAGGCCTGGCCATCGAGCCAGGGACGCTCTTTCCTGCAAATGCAGCAGGCTTGGCCTGACCTTGCCGAGGACAGGGACAGGGTCGGCTCAGGCTTCTCTGGCTGCCTCTCACCGAAGATGCTGGAGGCCAGGCATGGACACTGGCCCGGGTGCAGAAAGACAAAGCGAACACTTGACCGCGGCAACCTCTCTCCCACCTCCTGTCTGGCATCCCTCCCACGCGGGCCTTGCTCAGGGAGGCAGCTGGCTCACCAGTCATTTCATTCTGGCTTCTGTCCCCCGAGCGAGCGGGCAGGCAGGCAGGCACTGTATTGGTGCTTCCAGGTAATGCCTTCAGGCAAAAGCAGTCCGCTTCTGAGGGTGGGTAAAAAAAAACGGACAGGCAGAGCCTGGGGCACTTCACAAGGCTGCACGGTTCGCCCTTTTTGTGATTTAGAGACGCCCTCGTGCAAAGCGACAACACAGCAGCAGTCACGGCAATGTGAATAGTCACCCTTTATCGTGTGTATCACATGCCAATTTCCTCAGCGTCTCTGCTGAGTCTTGAGGGCCTCCTGAAGCGCCAGGAAGCCCCTGCTCTGGTCCGCACTCCCATTTCCAGGACACAAACTCAGCCCGCACGGTGTGTGTTTGGGGGGGCGACTAAAGATCACACAGCCCAGATGTCGCCCCGGCAGCAGCTCCGGGGTGTCCAGAGACCAGCGACATTCTGGCTGCTAGGACGCGATCGAAAGCCATCGTTGCTGCAGCCCTGGTGTTAGATCCCTTCGCTGCTGCGCCATTTTACCAAATACCAAGCTCCCTTAGCCGCTTTCAAGTAAAAAAAGGTCAAGAAATACCAATGTCTGACTTGTCTGATCTAAGGGTTGCCACGTGCCTTTGTTCCCTGCACCAAAAGGAATTACGTTTTATGTTTTTGATCTATGGATGGGGTACTCGGGGCTTGTTCCAACAGCTCCCCTGGACTTCGCGTGTCCTTTCTGAAGTCACTGGCTACAGAATGGGAGCGGGAAAGCGAAGCGGAACTCTAGGCCTGAGCGAAAGGGTCTTCGACATAAAGTCGGGACACATCTCTGGGGTCAGGGCCAACCCGGTGTGAGACAGGGTACCGCTGGCATAGTTCAGGGGTCAGAAAATTATTTCCCCAATGGGACTGAGTTGTGGGTCCACTGTGACTGGCTCTGTGAGTTCGGGTGAGTCATTGCAACACTAAGTATCAGTAAAGCTGGCATCCCACAGGCTGAGCTAAGTCAGCGTCCGTGGGAGAATATGAATTCTTTTCTCCTGAGCACCCACTGGCTGCCAGGTACTATGCCAATGGCTTTGCTTATATCATCTCATTTCATCTTCCTTTTATTATTTCCACTTGACAGATAATAAAAAAGTGAGGTCCAGCCTGACCAGTGCAGCTCAGTGGTTGAACATCAACCTATGAATGAGGAAGTCACGGTTCCATTCCCAGCCAGGGCACATGCCTGGGTTGTGGGTTCAATCCCCAGTGTGGGGCGTGCAGGAGGCAACTGATCAATGATTGAATCAATCAATCAATCTCTCATCACTGATGCTTCTATCTCTCTCTCCCTCTCCCTTCCTCTCTGAAATCAATAAAAATATATATATTTTTAAAAATGCATGCCGAAACTGTGTATTTTAAAAAAAAAACAGATCCAAATCAATTAAGTAAGTGACGAAGGTCACTGTCTAACGAGAGACAGAACTGGGACCCTGGAATCTACCCGCAGAAATCACACCCTTCGTGGTCACTACCCCAGGCGGTGTGGCCACCTCGTGGCTGTAGATCCCTCTTCTCTCATCTCCTGCTCCTCTGGTTCCCCCACAGGCATCAGCCACGGCTCGGTGGTCGCTGGCGTCATCGGCGCTAAGAAGCCGCAGTATGACATCTGGGGGAAAACCGTGAACCTGGCCAGCCGCATGGACAGCACGGGGGTCAGCGGCAGGATCCAGGTCCCGGAGGAGACGTTCCTCATCCTGAAGGACCAGGGCTTCGCCTTCGACTACCGGGGGGAGATCTATGTGAAGGGCATCAGCGAGCAGGAGGGGAAAATCAAGACGTACTTTCTCCTGGGCAGGGTCCAGCCCAACCCGTTCATCCTGCCCCCGAGGAGGCTGCCGGGGCAGTACTCGCTGGCCGCCGTGGTCCTGGGCCTCGTGCAGTCCCTCAACCGGCAGCGGCAGAAGCAGCTCCTCACCCAGATTTATATATAAAATAAATATACTAATAAAAATGTTTAATTTTTTTTAGAACAAGGATGGTCTCGCTGGTCTTTGAAGGCACTGGGTCGAAGACACGTTTTGGGTTGCTCTTCGGCCACCAACGTGGACGGGTCATCTCTCACGTAGGTTCACAGAGAAGCACACATCAGGCCTAGTTTCTGACCCCGAGAGGCTGGCTCACAGCTGGGTGAGAGCAGGACATGTCAACAGACTTGATCCGATGGGATAATAAATAATGGCCAGCAGAGGGCGCCGGCGAGACTTGGTGCTGTTCCCAGGGCCACAGTAGCCACTGCAGACCCAGGCCTCAGGCCTGGCGTTTTAATTGCAGGCCCCAGGCGTTCCTCACACTGGCTCCCGGGCCCACCAGCATTTCCAAGAGAGAGTGTAGCGCTGGATTAGGTGTGAGCTCCAAACAAAGGAACTGATATTTTATTGAGTCACCAGGGGCAGAGGCCTGCAGAACAGCCAGTGCCCATTTGAATCATTAACTGCAGATCAGCTGCTCCTCCGGCCACCATCCTGCCCCCTCCAGCCCCATCTTTTGAGTGAGCTTTCAAAGCGGGTTGAGGGATTCTGTGCGCTTGCCTTTTAACCTTTTAGAAAACAGCGTGACCCCAGTGCCATCAGTTCCTGTTTGGACATTCAAACACGGTCTTTTCCTAACACACGATCCCCATTTGGATAGTATCCTAACAAGAATCCTCGCTGGTTTGGCTCAGTGGATAGAGCATCAGCCTGCAGACTGAAGGGTTCCGGGTTCGATTCCAGTCAAAAGCACATACCTGGGTTGCAGGCTCGATCCCCAGTAGGGGGCTTGCAGGAGACAGCCAAGCAATGATTCTCTCTCATCATTGATATTTCTCTCCCTCTCCCTTCCTAAAATCAATAAAAATATTTTAAAAAAACAACAACAACACTTTCAGATTTATAGTTTCAAAGTCCACTTCTGACCATGATCTCAGCTGAGCCTCCCGACAACTCTCAGGGACAAAGGATTATCCTCATTTTCCAGCGAACGGAGGCTCACAAAATTAATAAAAATAATTGTTTGAAAAACTCCATCTAAACATAGAGCACTAAAGCTAGGAAGAGGTTAAAGATCACATGTGATCCTAAGTCTTGATTTTGTATATAAAACGAAGGCCCAAACAGGCCAAGATCCACCAACCAAAGTAGAACCAGAGCCGGGCACACAGGACCGGTTGCCTCTCCTGTGCCCTCCGCAGACTCCATACAGGGCTCTGACCTTCTCCCTCTGCTCCCTGTACAAGGGTCACCCTGTAACCAGAGCGCACTGAGTCCTCCCTGTCCCATAATGAGCTTGGCCGGCAGCCCCATAGAAGCCCCATGACATCTGCCAACCCCCAGTCCCTCGTCAGACCCCTGCTCTGGACCAACACAAACTCAGCCTCTTCTCAATTCACAAACACACGCCCCTCCCACACCCACACACCTACGCACACAATTTGTACGTAGACCCATGCATGCCATAGGCTTTCCTGAATTCTAGAAAGAGAAGACAGAGGAGCGGGTGACCTGAAAATAACAAAATACCTTCGGATTGAATGTTAGGTATCTCCCCCTTAAAGGGCCATCCCACCATCCACCTGGTCCCTCCTCTGCCCCTCCCTCTCCCTTTCAAGAGCAAAATCTAACTCCTCGCATTTTCTCATGCCAAGGAGCATAAACCTTCTTTATTCGTCCAACAAGCAATCACGAAGCACCTTGTCTACTCCACTGCAACCTCCCGTATGCCAGAGCTGTGCTGTGCGCTTGAGGCCAGTTGGAAAAAGCTCTCAGATACCTGCAGGGAGGGAGGAAAGGAGCCAGTAGACAGGGTACTGAAGGGCCTGCAGACAAAAGAGCAGCAGGAGCTAAGGCCCTGTGGTCAGCCCTGTGTGGCCGGGCCCTGCAGTGGGATGAGGAGGTGAGGGTGGTATGAGATGAGCTTAGAAGCGGCCAAGAGCCAGCCTGAGGGAGCATTTTGTTCTTGTCATGTTTTTGTTTGTTTGCTTGAGCTCTAGCCAATATCTCACCTTTAACACCAAGGTTCTCAACAAGGCATTTTCCCGAACTGAGAGAGGCTCCCCTCAGGGGGAGAAGGCTGGTCCAGCCAGAAGCATGATAAACAGTCAACCACTGCCCTCCACCCAGACGCCCTGCGGACCCAGAGGCCCGAAGGTGCACAGCTGTCGCCTAGGGGATGCGCTTTCTCTGCACAGAGGAGGGGTTTTTAAAGGAACCTAGGGAAGCAAACTGCCCCCGCCCCCGTTAGGGACCCCTCGCCTCCCTCTGGCGACACTGGTGGGTGGCAGGAGGCCTCTGATGAGTGTGGACACCGCCCCCCCCAACTGCCCACAGAAGACACCGCAAGCTGGGACCCGTCTCCCCCACACCTATCAATTTGTTGCTAAAATAAGCACCTTCTTGGCTGAAAATGATAAGCCTCTCTCTACTCCGTGACCTGTGTTTGGGCTTGTTCAGCTGCCCAAGAGCTGAGCAGGTCACGGCGCAGTGACTGTCCTGAACACTGCCAAGGCGCCTGGAGAGGGACAGGGAGGGGGCAGTGCTCCCACACCCACTCCAGTCTCCCCGTGGTGCAGATGACACGGGACTCCAAGTCTTCTGGGTGGGTGTTGGGGGCAAGAGGGAGGCAGGGCAGGGAAGGGTACAGGAAACCACATCCCCATCCAATCCTTGGGGTCCTCACTGGGGTCCTCCTTCAGGACCCAGAGCCACACCCCCAGAGTACATCTCCCAGGGGCTCCTGGCCACCAGCTGCCCAGGCCCTGGACTCCCTCCTCCCTGCTTTGCTGGGGTGTTCATTTCTGTGTTGCTTATGGAGCTCACAGGTTTAGCACAAGCCTCTGTCTCGGGTTCCAGTCCTTGTCCTGCTCATTAGGTTCACTCTCTGCTCGCCTCATTGTAATTTATTCCCTCCTCTGCTACCGAGGCGGCTGAGAGAAGCAGGGACCGGCCCCTCTGCAGGAGCCAGTGGCAGAGGAAATGCCATTAGCTTCCAATCCACGGAACAGGGAAGGGGGTGGGCTTCTCACCTGTGGCCAAGCTACTGTGGGGGAGGGGGAGGGAGGGCCAGCAGGGAACAGGAAGTCTGGGCAGAGCCTGCCCTGAGCCCGGAGGAGGCTGGGAGCTGGCACTGGTGATGCGCTTGTGTGGGACACAGGATGCGGAGAGAGCGCGGGCAGCCGAGACGGCTATTTCAAGCACCGCATCGCTGCCCACCACTGGGAGCCTGGATCTTGGAGAAAAGGCCTGCGAGAGGAGATGATTGGAATCAGCCTTGGAGGCCGAAGCTGCGAATAGGATTGAGCGAGGTTAAGCGACGCCCGTAAAATGAACCAAGAAGGGAGACTGAGCTGAAGTCGGATTCCCCTGTGTATCCGCTTCATCCCCATCACATCTGCCCCAGGGCAGTGGGGCCCTGGGGTCAAAGGCTGCCCCACCTCCCCTAGGCTGCAGGGCTGGGGTGTTTACTTCATCTCTCTGAGCCTCCGTTTCCCACGTGTGTAGAAAGGGGCTCAGGAGGTGGGCACGTCACTCCCACTTCGGTGGGACCCTGTGTAGAAAGCCACTCCGGAGCGGGATCAGAGCAGGCTGTGAGGGACCAGCATCCCTCGCAGTGGTGGGCAGTGCACTTCTGGTTCCCAGCGTTCTGCCAGGGGAGGGAAACAGCCCTGGACAGAGGGAAAGCAGGAGGCTGGTCGCACCCGACGCTCGCGGTGTGCGCCCTAACATCTCCGGGTCCCGTTCCATCCCCAGACCTTTGTGGGTCACCTCGAGTGTCAGGCTCTCTCTGAAAGGGCACCAGGAGATAGGCCTGCTGCCTCCCTCCTTGGGCTTGCAGTTCTGCGGGGAGCAGAACAACAGATAGACCACTGATCTCCACGTGGCCCAGGCATCGTCTGAAAGGCTCAGGAGGCCTTGAGCCATGAGCAGCGAGTGTTAGCTGCAGGGGGACAGTGGTTCCGCCCGCATCCGCTCTAGTCAGAGCACTAACCTCATGCCCCCATGGGTTAGTTAACCTCATGCCCCTCTGAAAATGCCACAAGGGTCAGATAAAGAACCGAACACCCTGGTGAGCGGAGACACGGCACAAAGCAACTGAAGACATAAAGACTCAGCATCCCCCCTGGCACTGGCAAGTGCTCTGTAAAGTGTGACAGAAAGTGGGGCTGGCTGCCTGGCTGGTCTTCCTCAGTGGTTAGAGCATAGGCCTGTGGACTGAAGGGTCTCAGATTCAATTCCGGTCAAGGGCATGTACCTTGGTTGCAGGCTCCATCCCTGGCCCCAGGTTAAAAGCAACCAATCCATGTGTCTCTCCCACTCCCTTCCAATCTCTCTAAAAATCAATGGGGGGGGAAAATCCTCAGGTGAAGATTAAACAAAAAAAATAAAGTGGGAGCTGGCTAAATGAGGGGATCACTGCTAAGGGGGACATATCTGGGCTAAAACCTGAAGGAGCCAGCACTCAAAATAACACCTGGCTCAAAACGTGGTGATAAGTGCCAGGATTGATAACGGACTGCTGTATAAACAGGCGGTGATACCTTTAGACGTTTCTAATCCTGGCGTCCAGCCGACAGCCCAGTCTGACGGCTCTCCCCAGCCCCAGTGGGGACTGAGTAAGTCACAAGGTCCCGGCCCTTCCCTGTGCAGCTGACACAGCCTCCAGACCTAGGTCAAAGCGCCCAAGGAACCCGCTGGCCCTCGCATCTGAGCAGCCATGGCCACTTCAGAGAGGAGCATCATTAGGAGGGGCTCACAGGCCAGGAAGGAGAGCAGAGGGAGCTCCGTTTCCTGGCACAGGGAGCTCAGATTCAGGGAAGTGTGTGGCTGCCCTTAGAACCCATCTTGACATTGGGATTCGCTTTCCTTTGCTGCTATCTGGTGGTCAAACGTGGGAACAACAGCCTGGAGTGTGGGAGGCTGCTTCCACAATCAACTAAAGGAGTTGACTCCGTGGTAAC